AGAGAGAGAGAGAGAGAGAGAGAGAGAGAGAGAGAGAGAGAGAGAGAGAGAGTCTGGCATGGGCTTTGGAAACCTCAGAGCTCACCTCCAGTGACAGTTTCTCTAACAAGGCCACACCTTCAAATCCTTCTAATCCAATCAAAGAGTTCTACTCCCTGATGACTAAGCATTCAAATATATGAGTCTATAGGGGCCATTCTTATTCAAATCACCACATGCTCTAACAATGAAAACTTGAATAGCAAACATCTTTCACCTACCCATTTCCTTCCTCTCCACCATTCATCTTCCAGAGCTGTTCAAAGTGTATGTGTTGTGTAGCTGGCATGAGTGCACACTGTTCTGTGTTAACACTGTATATCCCAGAACAGCTTCCTATAGGTATTTCCTGCTCTGCCTTATTTTTCATACATTTGTGTGGATGCATTATAGGTAGTGATGCTACATGTGAGGCAGTGTTTTTCAGCACATCATGAAACTTGGAAACTCATAAGCAAAAAGATTAATAAATTTTACTACCAAAGAATCCAAAACTTCAGTCTAGTAAAAGACAATAAAACATCACAATTGTTAATACAATTATAACATACAACAAAGGGATATTTAAATGAAGACACTTAATATCCCAATACAAAGATGAAGAGGAATATCAAGGAGCAGCGATATCATGTTGAATTTTAAGAAAACCATTTGGTGGAATTTGATGTAGATCTACATGCATTTTGACATTTTCACCTGATTGTAGAAACTTCTTTTTTTAGTGTGATTAAACTTGTAAAGAAAGATGATGTACATCTGTTGCAGCCCTGCTTTTTACTTGTATGAAATTGAACACAGTTGAAATGTTCTTCAGTAGAGCAAGAACAGAATGTAATGTGGCTTTCTTAGCTCTGCAATGAAGTTACTACACAATTGTTGAGAAAAATGAGGTAGAAATAAACGTTTAAAAATGTTAAACATAAGCTGGGCAGTGGTGGTGCATGCCTTTAATCCCAGCCCTCAGGAGGCAGAGGCAGGCAGAACTCTGTGAGTTCAAGGCCAGCCTGGTCTACATAGAGGGTTCCAGGACAGCCACGGCTGTTACACAGAGAAATCTGGTTTCTAAAAAAAAAACAAAAAACAAAAATAATAAATAAATAAACATATAAATAAATAAATGAATGTTAAGAACATATTAAGTGAAAAACAAAACTGCATCAATGTTTAAAATATACAGAAAAGTTTATATATTTAATGATATATGGTTCCAATTATAAATTCATCTATGAACAATTTGCATAACACTGAGAAATAAAACTAGAGTATTAACAATAAAAGGTTTCTTTTACTGTTTATTTTATCCTTTTTTGTTCTAGTAGTTTTATTTTTTTCTTTTAAAGATATTGTGGTCTCTTAAAAACTATATTAACTTAATAATAATTTTATAACATTAATTAAAAAACTTGCAAATAAATAAAAACACCACAAACCCAAATTTAATCAGACTCAAAGTCTATACAACTCAATGCACTTTCATACAGTTAGAGTAGGCATTTGAAATGAAAGATGTGGAACTTTACATTCAACTTTACACTTCTAATATCAAGTACATTTTATGTACTTACACTACCAAACCCAAAATAGTCTAGACAAAAATTAGAATTAGAAGACAGTTATCTTTATATCCTCTTTCATAGCTAATGTTATAAAATTATAGTAAAATTTACAGAGTTAAAAATTAATTTTAAAATCTTCCAAATTGTAGCTGGGATGCCATTGGGACCTATGTAGCCTGGAACATCACAGCACTTTCCAGCTCATCCTGTAATGTGCATGCTTGGTCATTTACAAGTAAAACATGCTGCAGTGAGTGTTTATACATATTCATGTATGCAAGTGGAATGTGTTAATAGACATATGGGGAGTGTTAGGAACAGATATTAATTAGCAGCTTATCTTAGCTGAGTGAAGATCAAAACCTTGTCTATGTTCACTCTACTCTATTTTAACTCATTGCCATGTTTTGATTTGCAAATACAGGACAGTCTCTGATTGTGAAGTTACTGTTTAACAACTGGAGTTGACCAATAGCTTATAGTGGGGCATTCCCCAATCTTGGCAGTCCTAAGACCTTTCCTTCTACCATGATTCTATCTGACATGAGGTGGTACAGCCAGAGGTTCCCTTGCCAGTTTGGCACCATGTTGCTTAGACTTTCACTATTCAGGACTGTGAGTTAAAATAACCACTTTTCTTTCCAAAAACATTTATCTCAGGATCCTAGGATAACTATCTCAATGCCTTCTGAAGGGAAACCCTGATGGCCTTCCAATAGGCTTCATCATTTAAATGTTGGTCACCACCTCCTTGAATCATGGAAGGCCAACCTTGCAACACAAGAACCCCTGGAATCACAAGTACAGCTCGTGGTTACTATAACTTTGACTCCAATTACCTTGCAGCATGTCCTACATTTGATAAGATATCTGTTTTGGGGTCAGAGGTCATTGAGGTCTCTGCTTCTTGTGACAGTAGAGCTAATGCAGAGTGTGTTTTTTATCCAGGGTCATTATCTGATCGGTCATTTGAAAAATTTTAAGCCTTTCTATTGCCAAAATCGTTAATACCACATTAGTTTTATATTCTGAAAAAAAAAAAAAATGAGCTCCAAACCAAAAACAGTTAGGTCCTTTCTTAAAGATGTATACTTGAAAGATTTTCCCCTAAATATTCTCAGAGAATATCATATTCCAAATTCTATTTTAAGGTTCTCTGTTTTTAATTTTCAGTAATTTTTAAATTAAAACCCCATTAATGCTTTAACCTGATGCTCATCACTAGTAAGAAAATCTTTAAAAAAAAGAGGATCAGTATTTCAGGTGTCTGAGAGCTTTGTCTGCATATATGTATGTGTACCACATGTGTGAATGGTATTCATGGATGTCAGAAGAAGGCATTAGATCCTCTGGAACTGAAGTTTCAGACCCTGGTGAGCACTCTGTGGTGCTGGGGAACCAAGCCCAGGTCCTCTGCATGATCAGCAAGTGCTGTTCACCACAGAGACTCTTCTCTGTGGAGTAACTTGAACTATTTGTGTTAATTTAGGAAAATGTCTGACACAGAGGAGCATGTTGATCCTGAGAAAAAAGCCGAGTCCACAGCAGAGAGCGAAGGTACTGCTGATGTCATCAGTATCCCTCGTCCTTTAGAAGAAGCAGAAGAGTCAGATATTACTGTAGAGGAGGAATCTGAAATTGAATTCACCACCGAGAGCGAGGAAACAACAGAGGGGCAGAGTGAACGCACCATTTCAACTGCAAAGTCCTATGAAGCCAAACCCAGGGAAGAGATTGTGTCCCCTGAAAACACTGCATATTCTCAGGAAGAACAGACACTTCTGGATTATCCGAGGCCAGAAGATGAGGAGATGACATTGCTGAGTAAAATAAAAGCTTCAAAAGAGACTTTGCAGAAATCAATAAGTGAGGCTTCAGCAACAGGTATTGGTTGTAGGAGACCAGGCATTTTATTTCTTTGTTTCAAAGGGTAATTTTTGTTTAATTTAAAATTCACTTGTGAGGTTTAAAAGTTCAGTTTAAAGTGTGTGTGTGTGTGTGTGTGTGTGTGTGTGTGTGTGTGTGTGTGTGTGTGTGTTTCAAATAGAATAGAAATTAAATGCATCTAGGAACCTTGAAAAATGGGAACAGGTTCTGAGTAAATTTATTTATTTTTTGGCTTGGAGATTTGGCATTAATTATTGTACAAAGCTAGCAAGATACAACATGGAAGTGGAATCCAGATCCTCATTTGCATTGGGTATTTCCTTATATATCATGATGTATATACATTTTGTTTGCTTGTCTTTTTCTGGCTGGTACAAACTATATAGACAGCTCAGGAAAACACATATTGGCTTTCATTGTAGGTCCATTTTAATGACATACATAGAACATGTGGCTGTCATGCTGGTGCTGCCAGTGCTGGTAACAGAGCAGTGGGCAGCGGCACAGTGACTGCATCCATGCCGACTGCTCTGATCCTTCTTTGCCAGTGAATTTTGAGGATTTCCACCCATAGCAAAAAGAACATGGGATCTGACTTACCAACAGTAATAGCATCAGCGATGAGGACACAGAGACAGCTCACACAGTCATCCTCACCATCTAAAGAGCTCCTGTAATCTTTTAAGGGCCTCATTCAACTTAAGCCAAACCAGGTTTTATAACTTCAACACAGAAGGGAACTTCAGAACAAGCCAAAAATGGTTCAGAGTTAGAGAATCTATTAAAGATATTACACTACAGGCTTTAAGCATGGAGGTTAGAAGAAAGAGAGGCTCTCAGGGGAAAGTAAACTACACCAGAGAGTGTGGACATGGACTCTTGCCACAGAGTCCTAATTAATTGTCTTACCACTTGCCATATGTACCATTTTTGTGGCTTTCAAGTTATACTTCAAAAGGTTACTAAGAAACATTTATTTCCTTTTCTCTTTCATTTTAAATTACATTATAGGATGGCTTCAGAGATACATTGGGTAGAATTATAGTCTGATAAAGTAGAACCAGGAGCCAGTAGGATTGCATAAAGGGGTTGATTCAGTGTGTGTCTTTTTCTCTATGTACAGGTTTTCTGGTGGGATTCCTAGAGGACTGCAGGCTTGGAGCTGGGGTGGGAGAAAGGCTGTAAGCAGTTTCAATTGTGCTGGAATCCTTGCTTCTCACCCACTGAAAAGCAGTCTGATAGGTCAGGGACTCCTTTTCCTTTTCATGTCCCTATAGTTTCCCTGTCTTTCTATCCTACCTCAACCACAGGTGAAATGTGGCTCTAGAATACAGAGGTGGCAGTTCAAATGATGTGCTTGCACAAGTCACAAATGACAAGGAACAGGCTGGGAAGATAAAGTGAGCCAAACTTGCCAGACAGAACCCAATAGCTCTCAAATTAGTTACTCCATGTGAATTTTTAGTGCCATTTTGGATATTGCAGTAATTCCTGACACTGTAACTTATACCACAAGCATAATGATTAAAAACAAGCAAAAAAAAAAAAAACCCATGAAGCTCAATTCTAATTGGTCTTAACAATAAAAACCAATCAGATATGAAGGGTGAAAGCTGAAAGATCATAGAAGCAGAACGGTAGTCACTAAAAACTTCTTATCTCTATGGATCTTCAGATTGAATGGGGGAAGATCTTGTCTCTACAAATCCTGAGACTTAATGGGGAGGGAGATCCTGTCTCCACCTCCCTAGTGCTGGGGTAAAGGCATGAGCCTCTCATGTGTTGGGATCAAAGACTTGAGACTCCCAAGTACTGGGATCAAAAGTGTGAGCCTCCCAAATGCTAGGATTAAAGGCATAAACCTCCCAAGTGCTGAGATTAAAGCTATAAACTTCCACCACTCATCTCTGTTTCTTTTTTAGATTGGTTCAATCTCCTGCAGCCTAGGGTGGCCTTGAACTCCTGATCTTCCTGCTTCTACCTCCCAAGAGCTGAGATGTGAGCCACCACTGCCTGGCCTCTATAGCTAACTAGTAGCTGGCTTCACCCTCTGATCTCCAGGGAAGCTTTGTCAGAACACAAACAAAATATCATACATTTTCTCCTTTTTGTCTAAATAAAAAGCAAAGGTTTTAACTAACACAGAAAAACTGTATACAATAAGTACAATAACAATATACAAATATATACAGGCAATAATTACACTAACAATGTCTAATCCATTGGCATTTGACAAATTCAGAGACAATGCTCCATTATCTAAACTATTTTGGTGAGTCCAAAGGGTTGTACCTAATTCACTTTCATTCTTAACTTGCATCAACAACCCAAAACTATCTTTTTATGTTTCTCAATCTTATGCACTTTATACCTCTTTAGTGTGTTTCCTTTCTGAGTCTGGTAACAAGGAAAACTGTAACTATCTGGTCTTCAACTCCATCAGAGACTTGAGTAAACAGGAAGTATAGAGCAAACAGCTTCCAAAAATAAGAAATGACAGAAACAGCTGGCTGCCTGGAGAGTTACCCAAGGTTCCTCTGCAATGTTGGGGTATCCATCATTGACCAGAATATCTGACAGACTTTTCTATGAAGCAGGATTTTTGAAGGATTGTCCCACTTTGTCTTGGCAAAGTTCTGCAGTCACTTTCTTTTCTGTCCTGCCTGTCCAATTTGGATAGCATACTGTCAGCAGTCAAGGCAATGGCAATTTCTTGCTTGGTGGCTAATTTTTGCCACAAAGAAAGTAAACTCCATATGGAGTTTTCTTTAATGCCCATCATCTTCTCTGAAATAGATTGGTGCTGCCAGGAGCAGACATGTCTCATTGTCATTTAGAAAAAACTTACATTATTAAAACATCTTAAATGCCATATTCTGTAGATTTCTGAAGTGTTTGAAGACCACCTGTTTATCTAAAACATATCTCTTTTTGACCTTGAAAGCATACCTAAAATGACTACAAGTTTGATTGTAATAGGTGATTAACTACTAACCTGCATTTCTTTTTATCCTAAATAGCTTGTAATAATAACTTTCAAGGACTAGAAGTTTATATTACATTGTTAGATGAGCTGTATAGGTACAAGAATAGAAACACATGTACAGTATGTTCTAACTAAAATAACCTTAAGTTTATATCAATATATAAAAATCCATATCAGTGTAAAAATATTTAAAAATAGTAGTTGCATTTTTGGTTTAAAAGTAGATTCAATAATCTACCTCTTTATCCTATCATTTTTATAACATATATACAGTATAACAAAAAAATCTCAAATTTGTATCAATATACAAAAATTTGAGCCAATGTAAAATATTTAAAACTAGCAGTTGCTTTTTAAAAGTAGATTCAATAACCTCCCTTTTTAAAAATCCCATTTCTGTATTCCCCTTTTTCTCTTTAGAACAAGACCCCTGAATCTAATCTCCTTTTTTCAGCTTTTTCCTGGCCATTACCAATAACAACTTGTAACCAATCACCCTAAATGATGACAAATATCCATAACCCATCAAACAGCCAAAAACCAACCACCCAACCTTTTGAGAATGTTGGCATCATGTTCTTAAAATTACTTGCTGCTGTCTAGGGGCAATGGCATCTTTAGGGACCCTGAAAAAAATTGGTGTAACCGCCTTTGTCAAGTCCTGTGAAAGCCAGCTGTATCATTTGTTGTCCAGTCTCTGTGTAAGGGGAAAGTACAGGGCTTGTCTCAAGTCCTAACTAGTCTGTGAGGGTGGATCATCTTAGCCAGCCATCTTGAAATTGTTCTGATCAGTTTGTAGTCCAAAGCTGATCTTTAGGTGGTGGTTTTCATCTTAGCAGCATTACCATAATCCCAAGTGGAATCATAGTGGTGAGTTCCCATCATCTTTTTGGAGACTTCAGAAATTGCATTAGGTCAGATTATTTCTTTTTTTGGTAATTTTTTCTGAGTAGTTTTCCTTTTCTTCTTTGGATGCTTATTTGTCTAGAGGTCTTTAAATTCCTTAAGATGGTTGTTTTTATTTTCCTAGAAAGACAAAAACAAAATCCTCCCCAACGCTAACTTTGAGGAGTTTCCCCTTTGGCAAGTTATATCTGATCAAATGAAAAGCATTTGATAGTCTTATAAGTTAGTTTAGATTGAGTGGTCATGCTGTTTGATGAACTATCACCTCTTCTAATCAAGAGGACTCTCTTGTTTAAATCTAATCTTTATCAATTTTGACATGGTTTCTCCTGAAATTTTTGTTTTATTTTCTGAAGCTGTTCTATCATCCAGAACAGTATGTTTTTTTGTTTTTTTTTTACTATAGGCATTAATTCCTTTCATTGTTCTGAGAAGGAGTTTCCCCCATGTTGACAGGAAAAGACCAAATTTGACATGGGGGCCTGTGAGAGGCCCCCTAGGTGTTTTCCAATGGCAAAGGGCTATCTTGTCTGGCCCTTGTTGATCTACATTCACTGGTCCAATGTCTGCCTTTGCCATACCTTCTGCATACTCCAGAAGGGAGAGGCCTTTTGTTTGGATTATTCCCAGATAAAACATTGTTTCTAGGAATGTCCTGTCTACAATCCCTTGGTGACCTTGTTTGCTACAGTTAAAACATTTGGTGTTTTGATTTTTCTTCAAGCCTCTGAAAATCACTTCTCATATCTAAGCATCATCATGGTTATGAGATTCAATATCTGTCATTTGGCAGTTTCTGTAAGGTGACTGGATAAATTAAGGTTGGTTGTTTGAAAACCTTGGGCTGTTCCTCTCTAATTTTATAATGTGATGGTGAGTTTGGTTCTCCTTTAAATTCCTCTGTCTGGGTCTGAATATCTCTATGATCCATTTTAATAAGTTTTTCTAAGGCCGGTATCTTGGCACTTATATCAACCAACTTTTTTAGAGATAAACCAAGAATTATCCAACTCACGATAAAGATGATCAAAATGATAATTAACATTATGTCAATCCCGGTTAAATTGATTATCACCTCATTTAATTGTTTTATTTTTAAATGATGAGTTGCATAAGTATACAGAGATCTAACTCCCTCCATCGTAATAGTGTTTCCCATTTTTTAACATGGAAAAAAAAAAAACCCTCTCTCGCTCTCTCTCTGTAACTAATCCCCCCCTTTAAGAATTCACGATTGTCTCATGGAATCTGCAGACGATGGATGGCAGTGAAGTGTGAGGCTGACTGCTGCTGCATGGTAGCAGCAGTCGAAACTGGAGCAGGTGGCAAGGCAATGACCTAGTGTGGCCCCAGTCTGAGGAGGGGGTCCAGTGAAAGCCCACAACACACTGGGAGAGGGAAGAAGTCAAAGAGCCAGCATCTGCACAGGGAAATGTGCAAAAGCAGTTAACGCCAGTGGTGTTTGGAGCCCAGGTGCCTGTGGAGTTTGCTGCAGAGAGGCTGCAACAGAAAAATCCCAAACTCAGAGGCTTGGGGAAAAAAGAAAGGAAAACCTAGCTGGCAGGCAGGTGGTGATTCTGATGGGAGCCCTTGAGTACAGCTCTGGTGTGTGCAGCCACTAGACTTCTTACCTCTGTGCATCCTCAGAATGAAGGGGGGGGGGCGAGATCCTATCTCCATCCATCTTATGTCTCTACCTCCCTAGTGCTGGGATCAAAGGTGTGCAACACCGCTGCCTGGCCCCTATGGTTAACTAGTGGCTAGCTCTGCCCTCTGATCTCTAGGGAAGCTTTATTTGTCAGGACACAAAGTATCACACAACAAACCCATATCCTACTCTCCCCTTCTCTAGATATAGGTTGTTGATCCTTCCTGTATTTGATGATGACCATTTTTCTCTCTTTTTGTTTACAGTAAAATTTGTACTTGTTCCTGTAGCCCAAGAAATCATAATGCCTGTTAGAGTTGATATTCCGTTTAGATATCTCAAGGAGCACTTTGCACGCCTATTACGTATCCCACATTATGTACTGCAAATAACACATGCAGGTAAGTTTGAAGGCTAATAAATCAAGACTGTTCTGGTTTTAACACTTAAATTACCAAAATCTTTGATTTTACAACTATCTTAGTATTTACTATTTCAGCATTACAATGCGGTTACATCACATTAGTTCATTAAAAGCATTTCTATATGCACATGTTTTAGTCTAGATTCTTTGGATATAACTGAACATTCTCAGAATCATGAAGCATTATTCTTGTCTACAAGTCAAGCAAGCAGGGAAGTGCTACATGGGGGTAGTTTTCACACACAGTGGAGATGCTTTCATTGCAATCAACACTCACACTTGAATATTACAGAGGAAGGAACCTGGGTGGCTACAGGACATTTCAGTCAATAAAAATGAAAATTCTTGGGGTAAGTTCCAAAGGGGTGGGGAAACTTGGTGAAATTTTGAGTGAGTGGAGGGGAAATGAACAAAAATGGGAAGAGGAGGAGGAGGAGGAGGAGGAGGAGAAGAAATAGAGCACAAATACAGTTTCTGAATTTTTTATACATTAAAGTAAATTTCACAATGTAAAATTTACTTACATTTTGTGGATATTGTCGAAAGTCTCTGATTAAGTTATTCAGCCTCTGTAGCAATTAGATAAATTCTTTGTAACTGTGGTAGTGTACATAGCTGCCATATTTATACTGGGCACACATATGAACAAATCCTAATGTTTCCATTAAAGTGTGTTTTTTTTTGTATTGACTTATAACAATGTTACAAATAGTTTCCAGAGAATGAATTTAGTTATAAATTAAAATTTAAAAGCCTAGGGTAGTATGATAGCACAGCAGGTCAAAATACTTGATGCCAAGCCTTAAAATCCTAAGGTCTAGCCCTGGGATCAAGTGGTGGAAGGAGAGAACTGACTCTTCATGTTGTCCTCTGACTTCACTCCTGTGCCATGACATGCACACACATACATGCATGCAAACACACACACAATGAATAAGTGAATAAAAATGCAATAAAAGTTTTAAATCATACAAGAGTGAATGAATGCCAAATGTTAAGATGTATTGAAATAACCCATTAAAGGTTGATTGGGCAGACCAAACTGAAGTATAGAGTGATTGATTATCAACAAAAATGATAATGATAATCACAATGGTTGAGTTCTTAGCATGCGTTAATATGTCTACAAAATATTCTGTTTATTTCATTATTTAATTTACACAACAACCCTTTGAGGGAGATATATATTATTAATATTTGGAAAGTAAACTCAGGGAACTCCTATAAAGTCAATGTGCTAATAAGGGGCTGAGTTTGAAATGTATGACACCAAAGAGGGAAGTTTAAATTCCAGTATATTAACTCAAATGTGAAGTTTAAAATTGGAGGCTATAGAGATCTTAGAGATCAGGTCAAGGATAGTGACACTGTCATTGGTGTTTTATAACTGGTCTTTTTATAGTTACCAGTACAACCTCTGGGTAGCAAGTTCATGTCATCACCAAAAAAAAAAAAAAAAAAAAAAAAAGAAATGTGAGAGTCTATGCTAACCAACCATTCTGCAAAACAGGTGCCTTTTTCCAGCATAAGAACTGTAGATCAAGCTTGATGGGTCTGTGCCCACTCTAGAAAAGAAGAGAGGAACGAAGAGGGCTCAGGGAATGTGTGTTAGTTTTCTATGACTGCTGTAATGATTAATATAACTGAGAGGAACAAAGTAAACTTCCTTTGTCGTTCTGGAGGGTGGAGGTCCTATGTCATTTTCAGTGGGATCAAGTTCAGGTGTCTGGGGCTGCTCTCTATCTGGGGTATCTAGAAGGAAATCCACTTGCTTGCTATTTCTGCTCCTAGAGTTGCAGGTCCGGCATTCAGTGCTTCCTTGGCCCTTCATCCATCCCCAAAGACACCTACTTCAACAGACTTTGCTTGTGTCACACTGCCTTTTCCCCTGAGTTAAGTCTTTCTTTTCCCTTCTCTAACAAGGGCATATGTGATGCAGGGCACAACTAGATAGTGAGGATTAGCTCCCCATTTCAAGTCCTCAATCAAATCTGCAGTCACTGTTGCTCTGTAGGGTTAGGTCCTAAGGGTCAGGGCATGGGCTACTCTTAGTGCCACTGTACAACCTGTCACAGGTAGATTCACCCAACCAGGAGTCTCCTGATTTGACTAGACCAGCTAGGGAGCAAGACCCAGGATCCTCCTCTCCACTGCTGGGCTTACAGATGTGTATTCTGGGGATCTGAATTCAAGCCCCCATGTTTGTTGCAGCACGTGCATTGACAATTGGGCCATTCTTAGCCCTTTATTGTATTTTTATATCCCATAAACCAGAAAAGTATTAGTTGCTTAACTGAATACAGCAGTGGCAGTGCAGACCAGGAGAGAATGAGTAGAAGTTGAAGCAACATAACAGAAATATGAAGTGATGTATTGTGAAGGTTGTCTCCATCTGACATTCATTGTGTATGACTCTGGTGGAAGAGGAAGGGAATGAATGATTCCTTGGAATACTAATCAATGCTTTTCTGTGCTGGAGAATGGAATGGCTAGTAGGGAGATCTGCTTGCTTGTTATTCCAGCTTCTAGAGTGGCAGATCATGCTTCATCCATTTGGACACGGCCTGTTGTTGTCTTTTGTGTAAACATTTAGTACATGGTTCTGCTCATACTATACGATGGTTTTATTTTCAAGTGTCTATAGAGTTTCGTGGTTATTAGATATTTGCATTTCTGAAGGATTGGCTAGTAGCTTTATTTATAATGCTACATTGCTCATAATAAATCCAGTAACTATTCCTATTATGGAGATTTACTTATCATTTTATTTAGACCTATTTATGGGACACAAGGTGATTACATGATGCATCTACACCATGCAGAGTTAATCACATAATTAGCATTTTCATCTCCTTAGACAGAGTCTCACACTGTAATCCAGCCTAGAAGTCACTATATAGCTTTGGTTGTACTTAAACTCTTGGGTTGGTAAACCTTCTTCCTCAGCCTCTCCCTTGCTAGGATTACAGCCATGAGCCACCATGACTGGATTTATCTTTAATTGATATGTATTTACATGCATATTTGAGGTATGGCATGATGCTTCAACAAGATTCAAAACATGAACCAATTAAAGCAAAACAAATAAAATTTCCATCTATCTTCTTATCTATGCAATATATTAAATTGTTTTGAACTATGGTTACTGTCTTGTGGACTTTTCTGTACTAACATTATGGCATGAGGTAGATATCACTAATACTGCATCTAGTAATTTACTGACCTGTGTTCCTACAAGTATTTTTTTTTTCTTAGTGATTGATGGGGAAGGATCCATCCCAACACCCTAGGCTGGTGGTCCTGGGTTCTTTTTTTTTTTTTTTTTTTTTAAGATTTATTTATTTATTATGTATACAGTGTTCTGTCTGCACATATCCCTGCAGGCCAGAAGAGGGCACCAGATCTCATTATAGATGGTTGTAAACCACCATGTGGGTGCTGGGAATTGAACTCAGGACCTCTGGAAGAACAGTCAGTGCTCTTAACCTCTGAGCCATCTCTCCAGCCCCCCTACAAGTATTTTTGATACTTTCCATTTCCTTTAAAAATGAATGCCTGGTTGATCACTGCATGTAACTGTGACTATAGTTAACAGCATGTATTACATACTTGAAAATGACTAAGACAGTAAAATTTGAGTGTTCTCACTGTAGAAAGTAAGTGTGTGAGGCATTGGGTTTGTTAACTTGATTTGACCATTTTGCAACCTGGGCACATGTTGATGGAAGCATCATTTAGTACAACTTAAACATACACAATTTTCTTAATTTAAAGTTAGGATGAACAGAAACAACCCTTTCTTTGCCATAAAACATCTTAACACTTTCATTTTCTCAGGAATAATTGTTGGGAATAGTGAAAGTCTAATCCAATACGGAGTTAAACCACAAGAAATTGTGCAAGTGGAGATATTTTCCACACATCCCGATCAATATCCAATCAGGAGAGTGGAAGGCCTGAGTGAGGGCTCCCAGATCATAACAGTCACCATACAGACGGGTGAGTCCGCGGACGTCTTTTAGATGGTGTTTCAGAGTGCCCTTGGGTTGAACTTTCCTTCAGTCTTGGTTTTCATCTCCTCAGGCACTGATCGCTATGAGGAGGTAGCTGTTGAGATAGTAAAATCTGACTTCCACAAGCCATTTCTCGGTGGATTTAGACATAAAACAACAGGAGTAGAATATCACAATGCCGGAACACAAACCATACCTAGAAAGATTCCTGAAAAACCCAATCGGTTTTGTAGGGACACCCAGGTAATATTTTTATTGTCCCATTTATGTGTGTGACATTATAGAATCAGCAATTGTCCCCTCAAAATTTTCTAATTTTGCCACAACCAGAACGGCTTTGGGATTGACTTTATTGGGGTGACAGGTAATGAAGAAATGACAGGAAAACGGTGATCCAGTGATGAGTCTTCTGCTCTAATGGAGATTCACCAGCTGCCCAGACACTTGGTGCATGTATGATATACCACTGAATATGAAATCTACTGCAGAAGGCAGAGGTTTGTTTATTACAAACAGCTGAATAAGGAGTCAGCTAATCTCGTAGGGATCTCTTGGGGAGCAGTGTCGGGCTGTAGTAATCTGGGAAGAGGAAGCTGTGGTTGATGTTTACTACGCATACAATCAACATCATTACTTTGACCAAGGGAAGGCCTTCTTATTGCCCTGAGTCTGCCCTGGGGAGGGATTTGTCATTTCTGTGGGTCTGAGGCACTGGGTCCTTGACATGGCTATGCTCATGTCAATAATACATACTCACTCAGGATTTCATCCACTCTGGACATAATTAATTGTATGACAAAAGAAAGATTAATGTAAACATGTAGAAACACACTCTCCACTTGGAGATGTTTATAAGATTTTCTTCACAATGGAAATTATGCAGTAGGTGCTTATTTTTAATGTTTTTATTTTAGACAGTTTTTCAGAGGAAAAAGGTACAACAAACTACAAATACAACATCCACTCAGATGACTAAAATTGGTGTGTATGTATCAAACATGACTGATAAACTGGTCAAACCAGGGAGGTACTTCACAGCAGCAGAGTTCCACGCTCGGAGATTGAAGGCGGTAAGACAGCATTCACTGGGGTTGAACACTGAAAATTAGATGTATACGCCTGTTCTTCTCTGTGCATTTCCCTAAGCTATGGCAGTTTGAGGAAGAGCAACATGGATAGCATTCTATTGCCACCAAGGCCAATCATCCTGAACATCCCTCCATATGAATAACCAGGCTCCATACAAATAACCAGAATTAGAAATGTTGCTAATTCTCCCTGTTCCCCAAGGAATCTCCTAAGGTGTTTCTGTGTAGCCCTTGGCCATTGTTAGACTTCTCAACACTTCTGTCCCTTACTCATAACCTTTATGCCAGTACAGTCAAATGGAGACTTCCCTGACCAATTGAAGTCAAACTCGATATGGCAGTTTGACTTCTCTGATACTTATGGAATCTTTCCATTATTTTAGTGTTTGGATGATTTCTCTCTTTTTTTTTTTTCCACCCATTTTACGTCCAACCTAATTGATCTCTTATAGATAGCTTACAATAGTGTCTGTCATCTATCATCATTTGGATGTGAGTAAAACACACACACGTATGTATATGTGTGTGTATGTATATATGTATATCAGGTCATATATATATCCTATAGCATAATACACTCACACATATATTTATATATAATGGAATATTTATATATTCTGAAGCCAGGGTCTTTTTCTAGCCTAAGCTGACCAAGATCTTGAGAAATGAACATGGAATACAAAACAGTTCAACCTATTAACTCTTTGCCCCTATGGAAACTCTACCAGGGCCATGTCAGTGCCCAGCTATGTCAACCTGATGAGTTTTTTACTTTTTAGATGAAACGAAGGAAAAGACAGAATGACAACAGAACATTGAGAAGCTTGAGTCAAGTTCTCTTGGCATAGTGAGTGCATAATAAGGCTCTATGTAAATGGTTCAGCATCAACTGTGTCATGGACAAGGTTACAGCTTCCCGGGGGAACAAAGTGGATACTGTTGTCAATGTGTCTGTTCTCTGAAGATTAGCATCTCAGTTATAAATCAAGACTGTGTCTCTTTGTCAAAGGGACTTAGATTGTTTAGGCACTCGTGATGTCTTTCATTCTCACTGATCTCCTTTCAAACAGCAAAGTTCCTGATGGTTTATGATTTTAGAGAACAGAGTTTCTCAGTGAGTAAGAGAACAGTAGTTGTTCAAAGAAAGGGATTGCTATGACATCTTAAAGTTGCAGAGAGTCCTCAGAAGAAATAGTTTCTTTTTACTCTGTAGCTGACTTCATTAGCGTTGTTAGCTAGTCCTGGTTTCTTTTTTTAAATTTTATTTTTGAGATTACAATATAATTACATTTCTTCCTTCCTTTTCATCCCTCCAAACCTTCCCATATACCTCTCCTACCTCTCCTCACTCTCCTTCAAATTCATGGTGTCTTTTTTCACTAATTGTTATTGCAACACACACACACACACCATAGATGTATTGCATATAATGCTACTTGTATGTATATTTTCAAGGCTGACCATTTGGCACCTTACAACCAATTGGTGTGCTCTTTCCTGGGGAAGACCACCTCTCCTGCTCCCAGCTTTCCTCAGTTACCTATAGTTATGTAGGCTTGGGGCCTTTTGGACTTGCCCCCAGCTGTATAAACTGTCTACATGACCACTCCATGGTATGGTTATGGGAAATATTTTTATTGTAGAATTAGGGGGGGAAACAACAGAGGCATCTGGAAGAGTTCAGAGCAGAGAGAGACAGTAGTAGTCTGAACATGTCTTGCAGACTGGGCCTGGCCAGGAGCAGAGGAAAGAGAGAGAGAGAGAGCAGGGAAAGTGAGAAAGGAAGACAAAGATAGGACCAAAAGAGCTTATGGCCAAAATAGTGGTGTTATAAGAATGGGTAGCTGTGGGGAGGGAAGCCCATGAGCTGGAGAAATTCAGGGAAGGGAGGCGGTGAAAAGAGCTGAGAAGAGCCAGGGACTCTGAAATATGTAATAGGTACTTGGGACACTGAGGAGCCTGGAGGCCAGTGTGTGCTTTGGTATGCTAATAGGCACCACAGAGAGCCTTTTGTCCCTTTTGCCAATGATAAGGGAAAAGGCTCTTTTAATAGAGGCAAACTGGCTTCACAAATTCCTGAGAAATGCTGGCTTTTGTCTAACCACCAAAATTTGGGGAAATGGAGTTCCTTTTGCATCTGATATCATCCTCTTTGAATGTCCATGGGTGTCATCCTTGTTCAGCTTACATTTGGGCAGTCATGTTGGTGAGACTTTATGGATGTAGTTCTGACACTACGAGGAGACACAATCTCACATCAAGCTCCCTGGTCGTCTGGCTCTTGTGATCTCTGTCCCATTTTCTGCAACATTCCCTAAGCCTTAGGTGAAGGGATGTTTTGTAGATGTAGATGCAGATGTAGCCATTGCGACTGGGCTCAATAACTGTGCATTTTGATGGGTTGTGATTTTCTGTAGTGGTCTCCATTGCAAAGAGAAGTTTCCTTGATGAGGGGTGAAGACTACACGTATCTATTGGTACAAGTATTGAGAGCTGCTGGTAGCAAAAAAAAAAAAGTGGGGGGAGATATTGAGAGAAGCTGGTAGCAAAAGGCATGGGAGTATACAGCAGGTGACAACTAGTGTTCAAAGGTCAACCTATCAGAACCAAGGGTTCTGGTAGAGTACTAAGCCATCACTCAAGGTATATTGGAGTTATGGCCTTTTGAATGAATTGGCTGTTTCTTGTTGTAAACTGCTTGTGCAATAACAGCTATGATATTTTCCCATTACTGTGCATCTTCACGTAATATATACAGAGTGGGGAATATCAGGATACAGTTGATCTGATTAGGGAAATCGGAAAGGGGGACCGCTTTAGGAGGGCGTGGGAGGTAAACACTGAAGGAGGCTAAGGAGGAATACACAGATACAAGTGGAATGATAGGGGAAGAGAGAAAAGGGGAGGTAATACAGGAGGAGGGAGATGGCTAAAATGACAACATGAATGTCTGAAAAAGCCACAAGGAATCATCTTACTAACCATTTGCCTTTAAAAAAACTATAATTCATATAGCTTTAATCAATTTTTCTCATCTGGACCAATGGTGCTCTCTCTAAGAGCCAAAGACCACTGAACAAATCCCCCCAATAACAAACATGAGAAGCTGCCTTTTGAGTTGTTGGCCAAGGCTGCCCAGGAGATTCTCAAAACATGCAGCCTATTGATGTTGCCCTGGTGTCTCATGTAAGATCGGGAAAGTTTTTATGTTATTTAAAAAGCTTCTTTTGGATCCTTAACAAGTTTAACATGTTCAAAAACACCTCTTACTAAAATATATCCTATTTATTTACTTAGTTTTAATTTCAAAATGTACTTTCTGTGAACTTTGACTCTTTTATACTGGCATCCTTCCCTTGACTCTAAAGACACTAACCAAATCTAGCAGTCTTCTTTTTGTTGTGTTTCACGTTAGTGAAAAGGTTCAGAAACTCCAGCTTTAGAATCCAGCGAAGGGCCTGCTGCCGTGCTGGACCCATGTTCCGCACCAGCTCAGGGGTGGCACCTGGGAATGCACGCTGGTGGAAATTTCCAGATACCACGAATGCTGTTAGTGTGAGCACTACTCTGTTAACTGTTTTTACAAGTGATTCTCTCCACAAAAGTACAGTGCTCTTGTCGTTCCATGAGGGGCCTTTTATTTTGTTGGCTTTTTCAAAATGGTCAGTTATTCTTTGGTGTATGCTCAAAGGAAATTCTGATGTGGCCAGAGGGATTAAAACAGAGGATAAAAGACTATTTTCTTCCTTGCCCTCTAAGGTTAATTATCCCAGGGGACAATTAATTTCACGATGTCCTGTAACTGTGGGATGTCACCTGTTCTCATGTTCAAGGAGGCCATGGAGACTCCATTGGGTATACTTTGTCTAGTGCAGGTCAACACAGGTGAAGGTCTACAGAGAGAAAAAAAAATTCCTCCATGCTTCTGAATATAATAATGGTCTAACCCAGTGCTTCTCAACCTTCCTAATGCTGGGACCTTTTAATGCAGTTCCTCATGTTATCGTGACCCCTCAACCATAGATTACTTTGTTGCTCATCCATAACTGTAATTTTGCTACTGTTATGAATCATGATGAAAATATCTGATATGTAACCCAAGAGATTGCAACTCACAGGTTGAGAACCACTGGCTCTATCCTGTTTTTCATTATAAACATGTGCTGTACTCTCTTGCTACATGTTTAGAAAATACAATTTTGTGATAAGTATGTGTTGAATCTTGTAGGCACTCTATAAGCTGGGGCAGTTAGGGTTTTAGCTGCGGTAATGTTTACTGAACCAGTCTTCACCTGAGCACTTTCCATGCCTGCTGCTATTGTACAGAGAACGGTTAGTCACTGAAAGCCAGACAGCAAGGAAATAGCAGTGTGCTCTTTATTATTAGTTGATTTATTTATTTACAGCACGACTGCAGCCTCACCTCCCTCCTCTCTTCCCTCTCCCTCCTCCACCTGCCCTCTGTACCCCCAATCCACCTCTCCTCCTTGTTTGCTCAGAAAAGGGCAGGCCTCCCATGGGCACCAGCAAAGCATGGCAGATCAAGCTGCCAAAAGACCAAGCACCTCCCCCTGTATTCATGCTGGACAAGACAATGCCACATGAGGAATAGGTTGCCAAGAGCCAGCCAAACCACCAGAGACAGCCCTGCTCCCGTTGCCAGGAGTTCCACAAATAGACCAAGCTACACAACTGTCACATATATGAAGAGGGCAGTCCCATGCAGGCTCTCTGGTTGTTGATTCAGACTTTGTGAGTTTGCATGAGTGAGGCTAGCCATTTCTGTGGATTTTCCTCTGATGTCCCTGATCCTCCAGGCTCCTACAATCCCTCCTCCCTCTCCTCAGCAGGACTCCCTGAGCTCAGCCTAGTGTCTGCCTGAATGCGTCTCTGAATCTGCCACCAACAGTCACTGGATGAAGGCTCTCTGCTGACAAACTGGGATAGTCACCAATCACAGGGAGTGGCCAGTTCAGGCTATG